TACTGTCCTTTCATTGTTGGGTAACTACCCCAGGAGGCTGCCTAGCTCTGCCTTCTTTACCCCCAAGCAACTTTTTGTGGACATGCTGCCTCAGTTGTACTGTTTGCTGCTGAATGTATATCTGGCCTAGGGAGGGGTAAGAGAGGGGTATCTAGGCTACTGTTGGACTTTCTTTCCTAGTGCTGGTGCTCTTGGGGCAAGAGTACAGGCTTTTACTGAAAGTAGAGGGAGAGGGCAGCCTGAGTGAGTGCTCTGGGACAGCAGGGTCCCAGTGGGCTGTATGGTGTCCAGCCTTAGCAGGCTCCAGCACTTTTAGCCTCCCCCAGCCCTCCCCCTCCAGCCCCTGGGTGGAATATCCAGGACTAAAGAGTGGAACTGCCTGATAGCCACTTTGCACACACTGTGTGCCATGGCTATTGAACATGTGTTCATTTAGGTTCTGCAGAGGTCTCTCTTGACAGAATTGGGCTTCCCTGGCCCTGGGGCAGTGCTGAGCATAGGCTTAGTGGTGGACACTGGTGCTGGGTGCTTGCACAGAGGAATGAGATAACTGTTTCCACTACCTATTCTGTAGCTTCTATCAGCCAGACCTTAGTAAGTTCAGCTCAGTTATATCGTTAGCCTATTCTAATACTTCCTAGTGATAAAATGTGAGTGTGTGTACAGTGTTAAATGAGTGACTATGTCAGGAAGACCGGGTGATCTGGCCATAGTCTTTCTCTGGTTTCTGAGCAGCATTTCTCACCATGTTGAGGTCACAGGCTCTGTGTAGACAGTGGATGAGTGCTACCTTTCTTTGGGCGTTGGTCGCTGAAGGGGAGGATCTATGCAGTGCCTCCATCTCCGAATTATCACTGTAAAACCTTCCAGAGGATGTCCTAGTATAGGTGTGTGAATGCAGCCTGCCAAGTTCCTAGCATGGGGAGACTCTTGCTTATAGGAATCCAGCATCAGAAAGACACGAGGCTGTTTTTGCCAACTTGCAAAAAGCTCTTTTCTCCTCAGAGCATAGAAAGCCAACACATAGCAGTTGGAGTTGTGCCCTGGACATTGCCTGCTTGCTAAATGCAGAGCACTTAGTCATGCCTATGAAACAGATACCCCATGTCGTCATGTGCCCACAGATAGCAGACTGAGCTTATGTTCCTGGTAGCACAGGGTGTGTCTCCTACTGTTGCTGTTTTCAAATAAACTGAGAATTTTAAAATGGAGAATGAGATGAGAAATGTAAAAGATCATCTGAATCTAATTAACTAGAAAAGTTAGTAAACTTAAAGAGTAAAGGCACAGGAAGAAACTAAAAGTCTTTTATCGTGTTATTCATTCATTAGGTGTGTGTCTGATAACTGTGTGTGCTTTGGCATACATCAATGATTGCAACAGTGTCTCTGCCCTTCCACAAGTTACAGTCTTGTGGGGTGTTGATTCAGCTGAGCCATTTATTAAATATGAGTTAAATATATAAGAAAGGAAAAGGTCATTAAAGGAAGCACAGTGCAACACTAGAGAAAATGCTGAAGTTACAATTTAAGATAGTATAAAACAAAAGACCTAGAAATTTAAAAAAAGGTGATAAAATAAGCTATAAAAGGGATATAAAAGCACACAGTTAAAATGGGAGATATAAAAAAACACCAAAGAGTTCAAAGAAAAATCTTAAATTTGGAGGTACTTTACAGAGGTCTGAGGAGACTATCACCACCCTAAGTACAGTAAACACTGGATATTGAAGTAAACTCCACATTTCCTACTTGACCTTCTCTGACACTACCTCCTTGGGGGAATATTAAGGAGGCCTTACTGTGATGGATGCCTCAGGTGGAAGTCTAACCTCACACTTAGTCTTTTTCAGCAGAGGCGGGAGTAGGTCGACAGTTTATCTGTGGTGTGCAACTAGAATAGAACTGTTATTGTCTAAACATCTTCTGTTAGGCTATCCCCTTCTGCTCCTTTGGCTAAAGAGAGCAAGCTTTAGTTAGGAACTTTTTCATCTCATCTGTTGGCATTTCTGGGTTGTCAACTTCTTCAGCTCTAGTTCTGAAATATATGAAGCAAAAAGAAAACCCAGGGATTCACCTCTGTGTCTTCCTTGAGCCCTGGGGTCCTTAGCTGACCTATCTTCTCTTGACTTTTTATTCATGTTTATTTTAGATATAGTATCTAGAATTTTTCATAGTATTTAATGGGAAACTAGGGGAAAATATAACTATTCCATCTCCCTAGAAGTGGAAGTCTAGATGTCTTTGTCTTTTATGTTTTGTTTTTTAATGTCTTTTAAAATAAAATCCTTTATTCTGACATTCTGCTATATTCTAAAAAAATTAAGTTGTGATTTTTTTACACTTGTGTATTTGATTCACTTGTGATTTGATTCACCTGTGAGAAGAAGTGAGGAAGGGACCTAATTGTGTTTGTTTTTCTACATAGATGGCAACTTACCCAGTGTTTTTGAGCAGCTCTTTTGCAAGCTGATTTTAGGCTTTCATTCTGGTTCTACAGTCCACTGTCTACTCTGTTAAATACAGTAATTTTGTGATGCCCCTGTTTGCTAGGATAGAATTTCCAGGCTTCAAAATTGTTTTACCTTCTTGGGTTGTAGCTCTGTCTCATGATTTTTAGTTCAAAAACAAAAAACAAACAAACAAACAAAAAAAAAATCCCGTGGGGATTGGCTTGGATTTACATTGACTTTAGAATATACCACCTTGGGCCTCCCCGGTGGCGCAGCGGTTGAGCACTGGGTTGCGAAGCTGCCCGCAGCCTCTGTGGCGCCGGTTCGATCCCCGGCTGCTCCCCGGCCACTGGAGGAGGGTCCCACATGGCGCGCAGACCTCTCCTGCCGCCCGCTGCTCCCCTCAGCAGTGTACTTCGGCCCTTCTGCCTGCTCTGCTCCCCGCTCTGGCTCTGGTGAATTCTCTCACCCTCCCGCGCTTCTGACTGTACCCAGTGCATGTATAAACAAAACAAACAAACAAATAAATAAATAAAGCATGCCTCTATTTAAAAAAAAAAAAAAAAATTAGAATATACCACCTTATTGGGCCTCCCCGGTGGCGCAGCGGTTGAGCGCTGGGTTGCGAAGCTGCCCGTGGCCTCTGTGGCGCTGGTTCGATCCCCGGCTGCTCCCTGGCCACCGGAGGAGGGTCCCACATGGTGCGCAGACCTCTCCTGCCGCCCGCTGCTCCCCTCAGCAGTGTACTTCGGTCCTTCTGCCTGCTCTGCTCCCCGCTCTGGCTCTGGTGAATTCTCTCACCCTCCCGCGCTTCTGACTACCCAGTGCATGTATAAACAAAACAAACAAACAAACAAATAAATAAATAAAACATGCCTCTATTTAAAAAAAAAAAGAATATACCACCTTATTTCAGTAAACTTTTCTTTAGTAATTTTTTTTTTTTTTATTTACCCTGCATTGCTCAGGTTAAAAAAATAAATAAAAAGTAACCTGGCCCCTCAACAGTTTGGCTGAGGGCAGGACTTAATCCTTTTCTAGAATGGGAACCCGTTCCTGATCTTTGGTTACCTTCAGGCACCCAAGTCTGTCAGTGCACCTGTGTGACTACCAGCCTTAGAGCAGGTACCTGAACTAAAGTGGAGGGAGAGGGACACTATGCAGGGTTCTAATTCTGTGGGGCTGGGGGATAAGAGATGCCAAATAAATTTTGTTCACTGGCATGGAGTTTGCATATAATTAAACTTGTGTGTAATAAACAAGGCCTGTGCTTGGGGTATGAGGAACGGGCAGGTGCTTCACTTTTCTTGCAAATATTTGTTCTTTTCTGAAGTATTTTTTAGTGCTTAATAGATCCTATATTTGCCACATTGCTGTATCTCTATAATTATACACATTTCCTTCCCTTGAACCATTTCAAAGTGAGTTGCAGAGTTTTTTGATAAATTCCTAAATACTCAAATTGTTGCTTGTCTCTTACAGAGTCATACCACCACCATCTCACCTAAGAAAAGTAACAATGACTCTTATGTCTAGCCTATATGCAAAATACCCTAATTCATCTTTTGGGATTGTGGGGGGGGTGTGTGTGTGTGTGTGCGCGCGTGCGTGTGCTCGTGCGTGTGTGGTTTTTTTTAAGCAAATCCAGGATCCAGTCAAGATGCACACACTGCATCTGTTTGCTGATTCTAAATTTGTAACAGTCCCTTTGTGCTTAGGGGTATCAACATTTGGACAGATCAGGTCTATTTTTTTTTAAAGATTTGTTTATTTATGCATACAAGAACTATGATACAGCCAGAGGTGTGTGGGAGGGGGTGAAAGGATTCACCAGAGACAGAGTGGGGAGCAGAACAGGCAGATTGACTTAAATACACTGCTGAGGGGAGCAGCGGGCGAGTCAGGAGAGGTCTCTTGTGCCATGTGGGTATCTCCCTGGCTGGGGATTGAACTCATGCTGCAGTGGCTGCGGATAACTTCATAGGTTGCATCTTAACCCCTTGAGCCACCAGAGAGGCCCAGATCAGGCCTGTTGTCTTGTAGAAAGTTTTCTGTTCTAAATTTGTCTGATCTCTTCATGACCCTTATATTTCCTGTATACTAGAAGTTAGGTGGCCAAATAAATACGTGAGCACATGTCATTTAATATTTTCTGGTAGCTACATTAAAAAAAAAGCAGATAGAATTAATCTCAATAACGTTTAATGTATTTACCATTTATTGATATTAATTTATGTATGTTAATGTATTTTATTGTGTCCAAAAGTATTGTTTCAATATAAAATCAATATTTTAAAAGCATTAATAGATATTTTACTTTCTTTTTTTATGCTTAGTTTCCAAAATGCAGTATGTAATTCACTTAATGGGTCAGCCACGTTTCCAGTGCTCAGTAGTTGCATGTAGCTGGTGACAGTACAGGCTGAGGCTTGGTCCATACCACAGTAGATAATTTTGGCAGGTATATTTAGGGAGTAGTCTCTGCTTGTGCACAACTTTGAAACCATGGGTGTTGCTGAAGTTTGAGTCTCCTCTTCTTCTTTTTCAGGCTCTGGGTGCTTTGGGATGGAGCAAGTGTGCAGAGGGTGAGGACCCAGCTGTGGGACTACATCACTTGCTTCCTTTCTTAGTGAGACCATCAACTTAAGCAGACTGCCCACGATGAGAATGTCTGAGGGCCTCTCACTGCTGCTCCCACTTTGGGGGAGGACCTTTCTCCTGCTGCTCACCGTGGCCATGGCGCAGTCCCGCTGGCCCAGCGAACCTTCAGAGGCCATCAGGGACTGGGAGAACCAGCTTGAGGCATCTATGCATTCGGTGTTGTCAGACCTCCACGAGGCTGTTCCCACAGTGGTTGGCATTCCTGATGGCACAGCTGTCGTTGGACGCTCATTTCGAGTGACCATTCCAACAGACTTAATTGCTTCCAATGGAGAAGTCATCAAGGTGAGACTTGGATATAAAGTGTAAATGAGGAAGAATTATCATCTTGCATTTAAGTTTTGATTTTAGTTTTTCAAATTCTAGACTCCAATAGTTTTGAGCACAGTTCTTTAGGATCTTTGCTAATTGTCCCTTAAGAGAAGGATAGCTACTAATGTTCATAAGAGACTCCCCATATATCTCAGAATAACATCATAGGCCTTTATTCTAGTGCCATTTTCAGGGTGTCACTTTTAAAAAGCCTTTTACATCCATATTCTGGAGGATTTCTTGGTCATCAAGTTGTGGATCTGATTTATAGGAAAAAGTCACCTTTCATAAACCATGGGATTAAACCAAAGTAATAGGAACTTTTAAATGTTCTGAACCTTATTTTAAAATAAAGTATAAAATAAAGTATAAACAAGTATAGGAGTATTGCTCTAATTGGTAATGTTTGTTTACCAAAATATTTGATTACTTAACAACCAAAATTAGCCTTTCTTTATCTTCTTTCGGGGAAGCAATCCAGAGAGCAAGGGGATCTGTGACCCATGTAACAGAAGAGTGTCTTGGCTGGCCCAGGATAGAAATTGGGTGAAACAGGAAACTTATGTGTGAAGAAACACCATCCCTTTGTCTGATATTTGACATTTCTACTAGATCCTGAGTCAGTTTGCATGGCGGCCAGGGGATGTTGCGTACCTCTCAATATATGGCCATCTCCTAGAACAGAGATCATCATGCCTTTTCTTAAAGGGCCAGACAGTAAATCTTTTTAGGCTTTGCCAGCCCTGCAGTTTCTGCCATAACACTACCTGTGTACTGCAAAAGTAGCCATAGGTAATATATAAATGAATGGGCATGGCTGTGGACACTGAAACTGAAATATGAATTTTACATCATTTTCACACATCAAATATTATTTTTAAATCATTTGAAAATGAAACAACCATTTCTAGCTCATGGCCCACACAAAAACAGGTAGCAAGCCACAGTAGGCTCATAGGCATACTTATTGACCCCTGCCCTTCAGCATTCTTTCCCTAGTGGCTTGAAAATAAACGAAGAATATTCTAAGGTATATATATATATATATATATATATATATATATATATATATTCTTAAGATTTATTTATGCATAAAGGAGCTGGGGTACAGGCCAGAGTTGTGGGGGTGGTGGTGAGAGGATTCACCAGAAACAGAGTGGGGAACAGAACAGGCAGATTGACTGAAGTACACTGCTGAGGGGAGCAGCGGGTGAGTTAGGAGAGGTCTGCTGAGCCATGTGAGTTGCTCCCTGGCTGGCCATGGGATTGAACTCATGCTGCAGTGGTTGGTGATAGCTTGATAGCGCTGAGACTTTAACCTCTGTGCCACTGGGGAGGCCCTGTTTGGATTCTCCTGTAGCACAACAGCTAGGTTCCAAGATATGGTATTCCATAAAACAGGAAATGGAAAGTTCTATTTATTAAGACCTGGACTTGGGAAACTTGCACTGGTTAAAGCACACACAGGCTCGAGTGGGTCCTTACTAACTTGTTCCTTTCTGATAAACAAGCCCCAGGCACATGTATTAGAAATGGTCACAAATTCTAAACCATTCTTCCTATTGAAAAGTAGGTCTGTGCCCCTTTTCCCTTGAATCTTGGTGAACCCACATCTTACCTATACCTTCCCTGTGTTACCTTCCTTTTTCCTGTTGGCTTCCTTCTCTTTAGGTCATGGTGGTGGTGTGATCTTAGGGGATCCATGATTTACTTTCCAGAACTCTTTCTAGTTGCAGAATATTGTAACGATTTCCACATAATTTTTATAATATCCCAGCAAGCCAGAGGCTAGTATGACTGCTAGATAAAGACTGGTAGTTTGGGAGGTACAATTCTTGCCTAATTTCATATTTCATCTTCTGAAATATCCAAACCCTGCAGTAGTTGCTCTTGTTCCAGTCACCTCTGGCGTGTTTTACATGCATTAGCGTTGACCAGAGATGCCTTAAATTGATATTGTGAGATGGATATTTGCTGTATCTGGCAGAGAGACAGGTCACAGGCTTATTCACCAGGGGAGTAAAGAGATTTTATTGGGAAGACAGGATTTTATTAGAACACATTTATCTATAGAAAGCAGACTTTGGTTTCCAGCTGGTCAGCCTGTAGAAAAATAGATGAAGATAATGTGACTCTTTAGGTTGTGTGGAGTGGGAAATCAGATCAGAAAACCTGACCTCATTCCTGAAGCTTTGATTGTTCCATCCATAGCATAGGATTGCTAGGTCTTCATTTTAAAGCACCCCCCATTATAATAATGATTATAAACGTACATTATAAAAAAGGGGAGAAAAATCACTCAGCAAACTCCTCCATTATTTTCTATTCAGGTGTCCATGTCACATACACAGATATATTCCAAACTTGGGATCAGACTGGACATATTTTTAAACTTTTTTTTAATTCATTGTAACTTGAATATTTACCCCCTTGGTCATTGAGGGTTTTTTTTAAGGTTTATTTATTTATGCATACAAGAATTGGGGTACAGGCCAGAGTTGTTCGGGGGGAGAGGATTCACCAGACAGAGTGGGGAACAAAACAGGCAGATTGAATGAACTACACTGCTGAGGGGAGCAGAGGGCAAGACAGGAGACGTCTGCTGCAACATGTGGGTCACCCCTGGCCGGGGATCGAACTTGTGCTGCAGTAACTCTGGATAGCTTCATCGTGCTGCTACTTAACCTCTTTCGCCACCAGAGAGGCCCATTAAGTATTTTTTTTGGAATGTCACTTTGAATCACTGCCTATTCTTAGGTATGTGAGGAATATTTCAGGTCTTGGTTCCAAGGACTTTTTGGGACCTCTGTAGCATATCCATGGGATGATAGGATTATCCATATCCTATCATCCCATCTATCACTGACTCACCTCTTCTCAGGTCCACCACCTCTTTTCTTGCCCCCTTAGTCTGTTCTCCACACTGAGGCAAGAGACATCTTTGTCTTTTAAATCTGCTAAGACCACCCCATTATCAAACTGCGATTAGGATCAAGCCCCATGTGATCTGACTTCAGGCCTCCTCTCTCTCCCTTTTCCATTTGCGTGCAGTGTCCCAGCCACACTGGTCTCCTTCTGCTCCATGAACATGGCATGCTCAGGGCCCACCCAAGGCATCTGGCTTTTTCATACCTTTCAGCACGGATAAAACCAATTGTTTCAGACTCAATTTTAACATCATCTGGAGCTTTGGAGTTCTTTCCTACCATCCCGATGAAAACAACTTTCCCTAGCATGCTATGTTGATTCTCTTAGCAAATTTTTGTATTTGAAATTCTTGGTTTTTGTTAGTCTGCTTGTTTGACTCCCATCACATAGTTGGCTCTCAAATGTTTATGGGCTGATAGAGGCAATGAGGACACCTTCAATACCTACAGAAGATTTTGGATTATCAAATTCTACCTGCCTGTGTGCAGGGAGAAATGCCTGCTCATGTCAGGGGCAGCAAGAAACAATACTTTCTCAAGCCTTATGTGGGAATGCCAGATAAGGGTAGGTCTTCCAGCCAATTTGTTCATGACTGTGTTGCTAATGAGAACTTAAGGCAGAGCATGAGATCTGATGAGATTAGATACTTGTCATACTTGCTGACTGGTGAGGGGATTGGTGATGGACTAATTTGGTGTTGTAAGAGACTGAACAACAGTTTCTTGAAAGGATAGAAAGTTAAGTCTCATTCTAAGTGAGCTGCACGGGCTGCCTTGTTTGACCTGTGTGGACTGTTAGTTATACTGGCTATTTGCAGAGATTGTGGCAATTCTGGGAGTCAGAGTAGCAAAGGTGTGCTGCTTAGCATCAGCTAGTGCGCCCATCAGGTAACATCAGCTCCTAAAACAAGGGCTTCCTGAGTCTTTATACACCAGGCAGCAATGAAGTAGGTCAAGACAAAGAAGAGACCTGCCTGCCTGAAGAATATAGACCTGAGCTCCTAGATCCTCTACTCTGTGCCATGACGGACATCATTTCATGTCCAGACAGTCCTTGTTCAGTCAGCCTAGCTAGCACCTGCTGCTTCCCATACTGTTGTCTAGCTCTGCCTCAAGAATCAATTTGCTGTTACTGACCTTAGCTTAACTGCTAGATGGGTACCATTGACAGATGATGCAAGAAGGGGCTCTTAAAGCACCCTCCTTTCTCATCAGGATCAGTGGGGATGGATCCTACAGAAACCAGCTTGGCCGTTGCTGTGCAGATCAGACTTTTGAGCTGGCCATAGTGTAAGTTACCCATCCTGCCTCTTGCCTCCTTTGGGATTGGTGCCTCCTCTGACTGAGGAAGGTGATTATATGCCTGAGGCATTCTAATCCTTCCTTTTGTGTGTTCATGGAGAGATATCTTTGCATCTCATGAGAGAACTGGGCACTATAGAGCTCCCTTTAGATGTCTCATTTTGGTAGATCCCATGTGGATGACTTTTTATTTCTGTTCCTTCCCTGGAGACAATGTGGACTTTCCCTCAGTCCAAGATGTTTGCAAACTGGGAGCAACCCTTCCTGGGACTGTGTTTTCAGTTGCTGGCATGGGCCCCTAATTGTTCCCCTGAGAACAATGGGCACTCTTTTTGACCAGGAAGGGGAGCTCATGAAAGGAACATTTCTTTGGATGCTTGAGAGCTTTGTGGCAACCCTGCCTGTAAGAGATGAACTGTAGTTTCTTCCTGCCTTGAGTGGGTGTTCCCTGATTCTGAATGGACCTCTTGTGAACACGGTATACCAGGAAATGTGGGTTGTTAAAGTAAGGCATCCTTGGGGGTGGGTTGTTAGAATGGCATTTACCCAGACTCATCAACTCCAATACTTGAAAATTTAGGCTTCTATGTATTTAATAAAAACTACTGACAAGGACTGAAAGAATATGACAAAATCAAATAAATGATGTCAGGACTTAGAATTGAGTGACTAATTATGATAATTTAATGGCTATAACTGTGCTAAGCTGTCCCCCGTATCCTTTGAGGGGAAAGAGTAATTTTT